AGAGATATCTATACTATCTAAGCGCATCTTCATCCTATCACTAACATCTAGTTCTGCACTGAAACTTCTTTGATTTTCACGATTTCTAGCCTTGAATAAAGTTACACTCCGAATTTAAGCACTGCCTCCATATCTGCAGCATCCCTTTTTTATCAATTTTGTTTCATAGGTTCTACCCCTGCCGGTTCTGCTAACTCTTGAAATGCTGCTAGAGCAATTGCTGGTGTTTCAGTACTTGAGCAAAGCCTCAACTCCCTAATTCTTGATTGATGCCAATCTTTTCAAATTTACTTATATCAACTCAACATATGCAGATTAAACAAGAGTAGGTGGAGACTTTACTCTAGAATAATTGGGTTTTAGAAGATGGGTCGGGTTTTTTTTGGTGGATCCGAGTTTGGATTGGGTTAATTTAGTTTTAGTTAATTAATTTTTACAACAAATCAGACAGTGCCACGTATTAAATGAAAATGCTAATTAAATGGACTATTTATTCTGTTTGTGAAAAGGGTATTATAGGGCCACAAAGGTTAACCCCAAGGGCATTTTGTGGCCAAAAGGTAAACAAAGGGTATATTTGTACCAATTTCAATACTTTAAGGGTATTTTAGACCCTTCTCCGAAAATAAAATTAAACATAGCTTCATCTTCAACTTAAAAAGTTTCAAATAAAGTGAAAAGTATTTGCAATAATACGTAGTAGCTCGTATATAAGATCTAATACTATCTATTTTTAGATTTTACTCTTTTATATGTTTCAGATAAATTAATCAAGTTGGGTGATTTTACTAGCTTCTCGAAAGACATAATATATTAACATGCTCTTTAACTTGGCCTCAACTAACATATATGTCCTCAAACTTTGAATACATACTAAACATTTAAAAAAAAAATGTGTCCTACGTAAAAATTTGTGATGTATAACTTAATTCCTCTTTGAATGTAGGTTATAGTTGCAATGGCTATAAATCTCAAGAAGAATCGTATCCACCATGTAGTTCCCTCTACTTTATCGATCCTCAGATACTAGAAATTCATTCCCCAGATTCAATATCGTCACCTGGTAAAGTTTTACACAAAATATATTATTTTATCCGTCTCAATTTATTTGGCATAGTTTATTATATGCAAAGGTTAAAGGAGAAAAAATAAGTTATTGTGTATGTTACATCACGGATTGATTAGTTGATATATCTAGTTGCCCAACCCATTAAATTTTGGACGAGTTGGAAGGGTTATATATTTCAAATTGCAAAAAACATGGTATGATCGATGAGAGATGGTAATCTTTGTTGGTTTTGAAATACATAATTTAATCTGTTTGATCTAATTTTTAAAATAAACTTATTTTGAAATGTATTTTTATGTGAAAAAATTATTTTTGAACAAGCATTTTTGGTGAGGAGCTATTTGTTTTGGCCAATTAGTATTTGATCAAATTTCTAAAAGGTGTTTTTGTATATATTTTCTCAAAAGTATTTCTCATAGAGTTTTTTTATTTTTTTTAAGTAAATTACTTTATTTATCGAATATGCATCACACAAGGAATCACTAACAAATGGTGTCTTGATGTACACTATCAAAATTTGAAGTGTTTACTTATCAACTGACAATTGTAATCAACTTTATATGTTTATTTAGGTATTATACCTAAAAATTATATACATTAACGATTTATATAATTTATGTTTTTTTCGAGATTACAGATCCATTATTTACACCATTTCTTCTTTACATGTTTGCGGCTCCTGGAGCATGAACAGAGATTGAGTAACAAAAAAGTTTTATTGAGCAAGAACTTTATATTATATTTATATATGTTTTTTGAGATGGACAATTGTATGTTTGGATCTCCATGATAGATCTTCAATGGAGTTAAGGTAATAATAAAGAATACTTATGTTTGTTTTTTTGGTAATAAAGACATTTTATATATATCAAAGTAGGGAATTTATGAATCGAGTATCTCGTTGTTGGACATAGTGCCAACATATCAACAACTAAGCAACTACACAGGAGTTATAGTTCCAGGATAGTAATTAAATTTTGCGGTCCGACTAGCTAACTTGACCTTCAAATTACCTCACATCATCACCATCTGAATAATTTACCTTGAGAGAACCGCAAAATTTCTCTTCTTGATCTAAAAGACTCAATTGTTCCTTTCCTGCCATATCGTATGCACGGTACCAGCTACAATGATCCTAAATAGTTCAGCATGTGCATTCTTCCCATTAAAGAATACTAAGTTAATTAAGTTGAATTATGCTTTGCACTTTGTAATTAATAAGGAATTAATACTTATGTTAATTAGGGATATTTAGCACTTTTAGTCCTTCAAATAATACGTAAATTTTGATTTTGGACCTTTTGATTTTTGGTATAAGCATGTTTAGTCTTCAATTTAATGGTATTGCACACTTTTGATCCCTCCGGTTGTGAGTTTAACAAATTATTTAATGTTGAATCATTAATTAGTGGGACCGACAGCACACATTTTAATTAGTTAACTGAAAGTTATAATGCGCTTGACAAAATATTAATAACACAAGTTTTAGTTAATCCTATTTTATATATTCCAACCACATAGTACCGACTTCAGCTAACAAATCTTGTCAAATCCCACAAGTAAGATCTGAACAGGATTGGTTATATACAAACCTTACTCCTATTTACGTGAGATATAAAAAATTAAAGGCTATTTATGATAGTCGCTCAGCTTAAGAAAAAAAATACGGACTTATCCTTCCCACAAGAATAAGAACACTAGCTAAACCAAATAATGTCCAATGGACAATTAGCTCCATGTAATATAACTACAATCATTCAATTCGAATCACCAATATTTAATGTATATTGAGTTTAAGCCCTATGCTCATGTATTGAGTTGGGTGAGAGAAGGAGAGACGCAAGTAAGATTCTCATATATATACAAATCACACCAAATATATATATCTGGAATATTAGATATAAGGAGAGAGGAGAGTAGCGAGCGAGATACGAGAGGCGATTGAGAGAGTCACTTGGATACATTGTATCTAAAACAAATTACACCTAATTTTGATCATCTGGATGAACCATATATATGTATCAGAAGAACAAAATTTGTTAAGACTCATAATATTGCAAACTAGCATGAATCTAAGTAATTAGCCCCTAAACTAGTGAGATTTCTATAAATTACCCAATGTATAAAGCCTCTTATATACCACTAATGAGTGAGTCATACTCACTATATCATATCCATCAAAATGTTCCTATTTTACCAACCTAAAATAACATTATCAAAAGATTATATTTGTCTTTAAATATTAATTTAAATCCCCTCATTTGCTAACACACAATTCTTATTCCACATCCCATCGCATAAGAAAATACATTTTTTTTTCCATAACTTAATACAAATATTATTTTATACATATTGCCAACCAAATGATGTATTATTTTATGTAAGATGTAGATTTACAAACAACCTCATGGTCCTACTTGAATTTTACCTTAGGGTGTGTTTGGTACGAAGGAAAATGTTTTTCTAGAAAATGTTTTTGGAAACAAGTTGATTTTTAACTTATTTTTTCAGGTTTGGTTGGTGAGTAGAAAATATTTTTAGTATTTGATTTATGAATGAAAAATATTTTTGAGAAATATCTTTTATTTTTACCAGAGTAGAAAATAATTTGAAATTGAAAATATTTTTAAAAACAAACTTAAATTTTTTTTGGGGGTGGGGGAGTGGTAGGGGGTGGGTGAGGGGGGTCAAGGGTAGGGGTGAAAAATTGAAATTTTGAAGTTGAAAATATTTTTTAAAAACAAACTTAAATTTTTTTTTGGGGGTGGGGGCTGGTAGGGGGGGGTGGTCGAGGGTTGAGGTGAAAAAATAAAATTTTGAAGTTGAAAATATTTTTTAAAAACGAACTTAAATTTTTTTTTGGAGGTGGATGGGTGCTGGTAGGGGGGTGGGTGGGGGATGGGTAGGGGGTGAAAAAAATGAAATTCTTTTTTTTTTTTTTTTGGGGGGGGGGGAGGCTGGCTGGGGAAGGGGGGTGGGTGATCGAGGATCGGGATGAAAAGATAAAAATTTGAAGTTGAAAATATTTTTTAAAAACAAATTTAATTTTTTTTCTTTTTGAAGAAGGTTGGGGGGCTGATTAGGGGGGGGGGGGGAGGGTAGTGGGTAAAATAATAAAAAATTGAAATTAGAAATATCTTTTAAAAACAATTTTTAATATTTTTTTGGAGGGGGTGGGGGTAGGGGTGAGGGTGGGGTAAAAAATTGAATTTAAAAACAAGCTTTAAAATTACTATTTTTTTTTGGGGGGGGGGGGGGGGGGGTTGGGGGGCTAGTTTGAGGGTAGGGACAAAATAAATTAATTTTTTCAACAAAAAAGTAATTGTAATTTGAAGTTGGAAGAGAGTTTTGGAAAATGTTTTTCTTAAGTTTTGAAGGGAAGTCATTTTCCTTAAATTTTAGGAAAATGAGTTGATTTGGAAAACATTTTTCAAAACATTTAACCCAACCAAACATGAGAAAATTGGAAAACATTTTCCTTTCATACCAAACACACCCTTAATACACTATAATAAAAATAGAAATTAGCACGATAAATAACTTTTATCTCTAAGCAAGACAAATTTATTATCAATCATATTAAACGACAGACTGGAAACATGGAATAAAAACAAAATTGTGAGCTATATAAAATATCTAATAACAGATAAGCGATGAAGCTCGTAACTAATTTTGTGACCTTACATTGTTGTTATAGTGATACTTTAGATTTATTTATTGACTAGTTCCCATCAACTTGAGGAAACTTAACATATGAATTAAAATTTTAACTTATAGCAAAAGACTCCAAAGTCAAGCCACATAATTTGGGCAAAGAAAATAAGATTTTTCTAATAAATGGTTGTCCATACATTTTCAAATTCCTTCTCAATATTGCAATCTTTAAGAAAATTGTATAAATGGGTCAACTAATAAGCTTATTATTTGATTAAATAAACACCTCAATCATTTAGATTTTAAAAGCCATGATTCACAAAACATTTTCTTTTTTATTCATAGCTATTTTTTTCTTAATTTTTTGTCTATCCTCAAGAACATCCTCTACAAGATTATCACAAGGTTTATTAATCCCTTCACTCTATAATATAATTGTTTTTTCCCCTAAATTATTACTATTCATTTTATTATTAATTGTTGTTCTAACTCCCTGTGTTTTAACCATGATTTTTTTTTCAAATACTTTGAATTGTTAACTATAATGATTTATATTACATAATTCTTATATAATGTTTAGATATGCATGTAAATTTTATTTTCGTGGAGGGACACAAATTAAGGTAGAATGTTAGTAGATAGTTGAGTATAGTCTTACTTATTCTTCCATACTAGTATTTGTAGCATGGCATCTGTAATTTTCGTCCTCCAATTTCTATTACTATTTGTTGTTTTATGTACTTCGATTATTATATTATTTTGTAGTAGTTACTGTTCGAAATGATTAATTATCACATGTTTTTATAGTATTTTGCCTTGAGTACTTCTTTACCTTTGTTAAGTACTTATTTTTCCATACTATTTTTCCTTGAGTCGAGGGTCTATCAGAAACGACATTTCTATCTCTATGATACGGGTCTAGGGGTAAACTCTGTATATATTTCACCATCATCAAACCCTACTTTATGAGATTACACTAAACTTACATTGGATATATATATTTTTTTTTATTTCTATGTTTAGTTTGACTTCCTAATACTTTAAATCAAGTCACATAAATTTTCTTTGTTACAGCACGTAGGGCTATTATGGCTGATGATGATAATGGTGATTATCAGGATAATAATAATAATGATTATAATGATGCTAGCTCACCAGCAATACCACCTGGTAAACTTCTCCCATCTCAATTTTTTAGCTTGTTTAAAATATAAGCTTTGTTATTTTTATCGTTGTGATTTCTGATTAAATATATTTAATCTTTAATTCAAATTATATGTACAATTTTGATTCTTTTTATTATGATATTTATAAATTTAATAAATTCTTAAGTATTGAATTATTCGATTAGCTATGTGTTATGATAAAATCTATTTTCTTGTTTTATAATTGAGAATAATTAACTATATATTTATTCTATATATGGGTCTTATTATCCTCCTTAACTATTTAAAGTATCAAAATTATTATTTTATAACCATATTATATCAATATGAATTTCTGCACAACTTAATAATTTCTCACCAAGAAATATTCAGTGCTATTTTTATAAATATTTTAATTGAATTAGTGAGAAAAACATTGATAATTTTTTCATACAGAAAATTTAGGAAGCTTTTCAATATTTCGAGAATCTATATAATAAATTTAAATTACTTATCAAGTTAGATAAATTAATTTTATATGATTGAATTTAATTTAATTTTCTATGATAACAGAGTATGTTGGATCTCCAATGCGACCTCATTCCTCTAAACCAGATCATTCAGCAACTGATCAACACCCACCACCTGCTGTTATACACCCACCCCCTGGTAAAATTCTCTCCAATTTCAATTTTTCACTCAATATCTCGTGTTTATATTAATATCCAACTAAATATGAATTCGTGCATTTATAGTCTCATTCTTTTCGTATGGCTCTCCAATAACTGAAAGGACCGGACCGGACGGAACGGGACCTTAGTGGAATATTCTTAAAAATAATTTTTTTTTAAAAAAAAAATAAAGAAAAAAATAAAAATAAAAAAATAAAAATAAATAAATAAATATATATATATATTAATTTAAATATAAAACTACTAATTAAAAATCACAATATTTTATAAGTAATTTTTTTTTGTGAGAAAGATATATCACATATGAGCAGGGTGGAATTAAGTGGGGGTTCGTTGACCCTATATTTGTATTAGAAAATTAAATAAAGACAGTTCGATGGCAAAAAAAGATCGTGGAAACATTTTTCACGCTAGAGTTGTGGGTTTGAACCCTACTATCAACAAAAATTATATTATTATTATTATTATTATTATTATTATTATTATTATTATTATTATTATTGTTATTGTTATTTTGCAGCAACCCCAACGGGATGCAGTGGAATGAATCGACAAGAATTAGAAAATTGTATACGTCGTCAAGTAAATAGGGATCTCTGCAAGAATTATAACATATGTTAAAATGATCCATAAATTATGTAGTATTATTATTACCAATGCTTTAGATAATTAATTAATCAATTAAATAGATGGTTTATAAACTTTAGAACTCCACTTTGTACTGGATGGGTACATTTTATTTCATTAAATTATCTCCCAAAAGAGGATACCACACAAAATATTTCAATTTTTTCTATTGTGAATGGTCCTTTTTATACTCTTTTCGCTCAAAATACTTGTTGTACTTATTTAAAATATTGATATTTTAGAAGTTTAAAATAAAATAAAGATTTTTTTCTCAGGTTAATTGTCTTTAATTGTAATTATTCTTAAAAACTATAAATACATAAATTATGACATATAAATAAAGTAAATATATTCAATGAAGAAAGACTATATTTTAGAATATAATAAGAATAAAATAGTTAAACGTTCTCCTAATTGATGTTTTACTTTATGAGGTGTGTATATTAAAAAAATGATAAAAAAAAATTTTATGACAGAGCGACTATTTCAAAATATTACATAAATATAAAAAATTTATGAGACTCTAGAGACGTATTCAATTCAAGACAAACTTCCCTTTATCTTTGGAGAATGTATTTTGACGGTGAAGTTGAGTTAAAAAAAAAATCGACGAATTCAATTTTTAGTTTCTTTTTATTCTTTTCGTTGAACATGTTGTACTTTTGAATATATATATATATATATACTTTGTACTGAAAAATACTAGAATCAATTCAATATATTCATAATCTCCTACCTCATCTACTTTATTATTAGTTTTAATATACATATTTAATTTAGCTATATAAATACAATAACAAAAGAGGTAGGAATTTCAGTTGTATCAAATATGAACAAAAAAAAAGAATTAAAATGCAAAAATTAGTACCCCCTTTGTTCCAAATTACGTGAATTTGAATATGAAAAAAAAAATTATTTAAAATAAATTTTATATTTTTGAATTATATAAAATATATTATAAATTAAATAATTGATAATTTAAAATATTTTTAAAAATATATAAAAAATATTACGAAAAAAAAAACAAACTTATTTGCATTTTGAAATATGGAAATGTCACATATACGAACAAGTACAAGACATGCCAATGCAAGCCATTACTCTATAGAATTAGTATAGCTCGCAGACGAGCACATTAATAAAAACTTGAACTAAATACACAAAGATGGAAAGATTAAAGTTTTGTTATTATAAAGTCTCCGATAAAAAAAATGATCGTTAAACAATGGTATCTTTGTGACCCAATTGTAATATAATTGGAGCTAAACTACATAACTTGAGAAGACCGCTATAAGTTGACCAAATCAACTGTCATGAAGACTCCATAGGACTTGGGAGTACTTTTTTTTTTATTTGTCAATAAAATAATAATTATTATTATATTATGTTTTATAAATATGATATATTTTATACATTTTTAATTTATGATCACAAAATTTTAAAAAATAATTTGCTCTACTTAGGGGTATTCACGGTTTGGATAAAAACTGATCCAAACCGAAAAATTGAATCAAACCGATAAAATAAAATCGATTTTATTTGGGTTTGGTTTGGCTTTAGATTTTTTGAAAACCGATAGTATTTGGTTTGGTTATGGTTTTATTCTAAAAACCGAAGAAATAACCGAAACAATGAATTATATACATATATTTTATTAATATACATACTTAATATATTGTTCTTATAAACAACTTTAAAGATCTTATATATATTTTCATTAAAATTTCTTTATAATATACTTATTGAAAGCAAAAATGTCCAATATGAAAACATTTATCTTATTGATTTCATGTATATGAGTGCTTATGACAATTCTTTGTGGAACTGAAAATGTTATTGTCTCTTCCTTCTAGGCCAATATAGTGAATTTTAAAGCTTTATTGATAGTAAATTTAGTGATCGAAAGTTCAGTAATTTAAGTCATTCTAACTATTTTTTGTTTTGAATGGATTGTTGTCACTTTTTTCACATTTTGAATGAATTGTTTCTTTTATTTTTGTGTATGATTAATTACCGAACCAAACCAAACTGAAACTGATAACCACCAAACCGATAAATGTATATTATATTTGATTTTGATAATTTTAAAATCGATTAAGTTGGTTTGGTTTTGGTTTTGGTTTTGACCAATAACCGATCCAAACCGACCCGTGAACACCCCTAACTCTGCTTATGAAAAATAATTTCTGTTGTTGTGTAGAAATTATTTTTTAAAAAAAATCTCAACTCTCTAAACTAAGTAAAAAAAATGAAAGAAAAAAAACATTATTAATTTCTAAAAAATTGGCCAAACAAATTATAAAATCACTTTATATATTGTACATGTTCTTGCAAAAAAAAAAAAAGGCTAATTGAGTATTGACTTGTTCAACATATTAGCATGAGAGGACTTAAGAGTAGACCAAAGTGTCATGAATCACAAAGGTTGCGGCGTAATAAATGAGATTGTCTCGAGGTTTTGATTTAGAGATTTAAATATAGAAAAAAATTTGATAAAAAATACTTTTTTTCGAATAAGTATGCCTTCACAATACGAACTTAAAATCAGTCGAACTTTAATATAGATACTGAATCATGAATGAAAAAACAAAAACTAAAGTGTCATAAATGTTTAGTCCAAGGAAGACTTCAAAAGTCAAGAACCATAAAATGGGTTATAAACGAAGTGAGAATTTTCTAAAGGATTTAGTCTACACGTTTGAAGTATTTATTTTTATCTTGAGGAAATTTTTATATAAGATTATTATTGATTAAACAAAAAAACACATCATATTATTTCTCTCTTCCTCCATAGCCTTTTGAAACCATGAATTACAAAGCATTCACTTTGATATTGTTTGTATTAATTTTTTGTCTATCGTCAATAATGGCCTCTCGAAGAATATTAACAGGTTTTATCTCTTTGCTTTTCTGATTGATATATTAAATATGATAATTAGAAAAAAAATATTTATTGTTTATAGAATAATAATTCTTGTTTATTGATAAAATCATAAAGATCATTTCTATTATAAGGTGGAGAGTTTGATTTTTCCAATCAACCTATTCGCATAAATAAAACTATTTTAAAAATTATATATTTATCCCTTCACTTTAATATATTTTAATTTTTTTCCCCCTAAATTTTCAGTTGAAGGAAGTAAACAAATTCATTAGTTTAAGATATACCATGTTGAGAATTCTAATTAGTACGATGGCATTTAATTTGGACTAATAAACAGTTTTTGTTGTAAAAGTAAAGCAAAATAAGACAAAAAAATATAGAAGATGAAAGCAATAGAAATATTGTTATATAATAATTTATAACAATTTTCTTTTGTCATTTCCTTTTTTGCTTTATTCTTGATTTCTTGCTCCGTTTATTGTAATGGATTTTACTTTTAATTTGAGGTATCGCGTTTCAGTTTTCGATATGAAAAAAATGTCTTCAGAAAGCATTTTTTCTTTAAATAAGTCATGTACGACACAAATTCATTTTTTTCCAAAAACACTTTTGAAATTATAATCAAGCATAAACTATTACCCTAGATCAACAAGTCTTTTTAAATTTATTAGTCTAATACAAATTACTATCATATATATGTATAAAAAAAACTTTAACAAACACTTTCAACAAAAATACTTTTTAAAATAAATAATTTTTCAAACTTAATCAAATAGACTATAAATAATTAGGCTATTGAAAATAAAGTAGATACCAAATTTGGACAGATTAAAAAATTAATTTTTTATTTATCAATTTGACCAAATGGGAAGAAAATTCAAAGACAAGTAGGTTGACAAAAAAGATATTTTCTACCCAAAAGTTCTTGTTCTTTGTTTGAATTGAATTTAAATTCTATGTATTCATACCATCAAATTATTTATATTCAAGATATATTGATTATTATGATAGCATAATATATATAAACTCTATTTTAATAACAGATCCGGGAGGTAGTAAAATGCCATCACGATCTCACCAACCTAAAGCCGATGGATCAGCAACTACCCAACCACCTCCTGGTAAAAATCAGCGACTGTATTCAACAGCCAAATCCTGCAATTATTATAGTAGATGTAAACGCGCCACTCCAACAGTCACACCCTGCAATTTTGGTAATAGATGTAAACGCAACAATAGTACCTTAAATTGAAGTTATAACAAAGTAAGTTGCAGTTGGAATTTAAAATTTATGAAATCTAAATGTATTACTGAATTATTTATAGCTCGTTTAATTAGTTATTGGATTGACGGTAAATTGTAAACAATAAACTTCATTATTCAGTGAAAGTTCATGTAATAATATTGAATGTTATTTATTTATATGAAGGCCATTTAAAATCTTCTTCCTCCATCCCCTTTTTGCTATCCCTTTTTTTTTCAGTACTTAAAGTTCCCAAATTATGAGGAATAAAGAAGGTAGATTTCCTAAATGGTTAAATACATTCATTAATTGTATCTTAAATTTGTTCGTAAATTTTATTTAGACAATATCTTAACTACGATTTGTCCTGATTGCGTCAATAAATTTTAAAGAGGCAAGAAAATACTTGACAAATATCGTGCTCAGGGCATGCACATGCCATCGAACATCTTTTTCTTTTTTAGTTGTATCCATTCGAACTTGTGACGATCCGTTAAGACTTGTAAGATGATCCCAAAAGTTTCCTTTTAGGAATTTTACACAAATCACATATTGTTAAGAGCTTATTTTATCTTATCCCTACTCCTCTTCAAATTACAAGAATTCCTTAAATTTGATGGAATCTGGATACATCCCAAATCGTCCTGATACATTCAGTCTCAATTTCGGATACATCGCTCAACGTCTCGATACATCACGTATTAGTTTCATATACATCACTCAACATCTCGATAACATTGCGTAAAGTGATGTATTCGACCAAAACATCGCGGAAAGTGATGAATCCGATAATAGGAGAGAGTAGAGATTTTTGTAGTTTTTTCAAATGATAGGAAGTTTTTAAGAATATGATAAAATAAGTTGTGTTTAGGTTATACGAATAATTTAAATGAGGTTACAATTTAAATAATGATACAAAATAGTCTATTTGTGCAAACCTCCCATCCACACAAGTTTGAATGGGCTGGTCTGTCTAAAAAAGCCCAAGAGCTTCTTACTATTGAGCCTACTTTACTAGTGGCGGGACCCAATTACAAAATTTTCAAATATAGAAATACTCCACACGCAATTTCCGCCTTCCCGTTAAGTTTATTCCGGTGCCGGAGAAATGGAAAACGGCGCTCAGCAAACACCGGCCACCACAACGCCACCATCACCTCCGATGCCAAAAGTTGGCGTTGCGGTGTTCCTTTTGAAAGGAAGTAAAGTTCTGTTGGGGAAACGCCTCTCCGCCGTCGGCCATAGCACCTTTGCACTTCCCGGCGGCCACCTGGAGTTCGGTGAGTACCTAAAACTATCTTCCCGTTGTTTATCGAGGCTTAAATTCATCTATTTGTTATGATTTATTTGCTAGATTATTAAACTGTAAAGAAGAAAAATTGGAGTAGGAAAAATCTTATTTTTTTGCAAAAAGTTAAACAATCACCTTTATTTGGTAAAATATCTTGCAAGATTGCAATATAACTTTCGTGGTTAATTAGTGTGATTTATAGTACTTTTCATGTTGTTTCCAAATATATACTTGATTTTATTTCAAAAAACTTAAAACTTCTATGTTTGAATTCACAATCTAAGTTTGAATTTCAAAATTTCAGTTGTGTCACGTAAATTGGGACCGAGGGAGTGATAGCTGCACATTTCACCTAGAAAGTATGCATAAGTTGAATGTCCTCTAGTTGTTTCTTATCACAAGCGGTAGCAGTTTGTTTTTCTGATTTTGACTTGATACGAAGATTAAGACGGTTGAAAAGACTTCTGAATCTTGTGGTGTTTAATTAAAGAAATGTAGAATGTACCAAAACGTCATTTAATCGTGTTGTCTTAAACATGCTACGTAGAAAGTTAGAACTAAAGAGTTGTCTGTAAAGAAAAAAGACATCCTTTTTTAAACTAACTAAAAGGAAAGTCAGGCAAACAAATTGAAACGGAAGGATTACTTGGTTATGTTTAATTCAAGACATATTTGAAAACATAATATGTATATATTCATATTTGAGTTCAGCAATATGATCAATTAAGTAATCATATTCATAGCCTAGCCTAACTGATGCTGCTGCAACTTTGATTTGATAGAAGCCTCATGGTTTTGAGGCAATAGTTGTCCAGTGTTGTTAAAGGCACGCTTAAAGTGCGTTTAAGCTCTGAAGTGAGGCTCAAAACATGTTGAACATGTCTATTTACATTGATCATGTATTTGTTACAGGGGAAAGTTTTGAAGAGTGCGCAACGAGGGAGGTGAAGGAGGAAACAGGATTGATAATTGATAAAACCGAGTATCTAACAGTGACTAACAATGTCATCTCAGAGAAAGTTCACACCGTTTGCGTATTCATCAGAGCAGTCCCTGCTGATATTAACCAGAAGCCTGAAACACTTGAACCTGATAAATGTGCTGGTTGGGATTGGTATGAATGGAACAATCTCCCTAAACCACTCTTTGGTCCTTTAGAAGATATGGTCCAAAGTGGCTTCAATCCTTTTCCAACTACTTGATAGTTAACTGTTTTGCTAAGTATGTAGGATTCGATGTTGCTAGGATTGCAATATAACTTTCGTGCTCAAGGCATGCACATGCCATCGAACATTTTTTTCTTTAGTTTTGCTGTATCCATTCGAACTTGTGACGATCCGTTAAGACTTGTAAGATGATCCCAAAAGTTTCCTTTTAGGAATTTTACACAAAGCACATATTGTTAAGAGCTTATTTTATCATATCCCTACTCCTCTTCAAATTACAAGAATTCCTTAAATTGATGGAATCTGGATACATCCCAAATCGTCCCGATACATTTAGTCTCGATTTTGGATACATCGCTCAACGTCTCGATACATCGCGTATTAGTTTCATATACATCACTCAACTTCTCGATAACATCGTGTAAAGTGATGTATTCGACAGATACATCGCGGAAAGTGATGAATTCGATAATAGGAGAGAGTATAGATTTTTGTAATTTTTTCAAATGATAGAAGTTTTTAAGAATATGATAAAATAAGTTGTGTTTTAGGTTATACGAATAATTTAAATGAGGTTACAATTTAAATAATGATACAAAATAGTCTATTTGTGCAAACCTCCCATCCACACAAGTTTGAATGGGCTGGTCTGTCTAAAAAAGCCCAAGAGCTTCTTACTATTGAGCCTACTTTACTAGTGGCGGGACCCAATTACAAAATTTTCAAGTGGGAATACTCCACACGCAATCTCCGCCTTCCCGTTAAATTTACTCCGGTGCCGGAGAAATGGAAAACGGCGTTCAGCAAACACAGGCCACCACAACGCCACCATCACCTCCGATGCCAAAAGTTGGCGTAGCGGTGTTCCTTTTGAATGGAAGTAAAGTTCTGTTGGGGAAACGCCTCTCCGCCGTCGGCCATAGCACCTTTGCACTTCCCGGCGGCCATCTGGAGTTCGGTGAGTAACTTCAAATATCTTCCCGTTGTTTATCGAAGCTTAAATTCATATATTAGGTATGATTTATGATATGATTTCTTTGCTAGATGATCTAAAATTTATAGTGATTTTTTTCTAGATTATTAAACTGGAAAGCAGAAAAATTGGAGTATGAAAAAACTTATTTTTTTGCAAAAACTTAAACAATCACCTTTATTTGGAAAAATATCTTGCAAGATTGCAATATAACTTTCGTGGTTAATTAGTGTGATTTGTAGTACGTTTTACGTTGTTTCCAAATATATACTTGATTTTATTTCAAAAAACTTAAAACTTCTATGTTTGAATTCACAATCTAAGTTTAGAAGTTTGAATTTCAAAATGTAAGACAAACAAATTGAAACGGATGGAGTATTTGGTTCTGTTTAATTCAAGACATATTTGATAACACAATATGTATATATTCATATTTGAGTTCAGCAATATGATCAAATAAGTAATCATGTTCATAGCCTAGCCTAACTGATGCTGCTGCAACTTTGATTTGATAGAAGCCTCATGGTTTTGAGGCAATAGTTGCCCAGTGTTGTTAAAGGCGCGCTTAAAGTGCGTTTAAGCTCTGAAGTGAGGCTCAAAACATGTTGAACATGTCTATTTACATTGATCATGTATTTGTTACAGGGGAAAGTTTTGAAGAGTGCGCAACGAGGGAGGTGAAGGAGGAAACAAGATTGATAATTGATAAAACCGAGTATCTAACGGTGACTAACAATGTCATCTCAGAGAAAGTTCACACCGTTTGCGTATTCATCAGAGCAGTCCCTGCTGATATTAACCAGAAGCCTGAAACACTTGAACCTGATAAATGTGCTGGTTGGGATTGGTATGAATGGAACAATCTCCCTAAACCACTCTTTGGTCCTTTAGAAGATATGGTCCAAAGTGGCTTCAATCCTTTTCCAACTACTTGATAGTTAACTGTTTTGCTAAGTATGTAGGATTCGATGTTGCTAGGATTGATCACTAGTTCGAGCGGTGGAATCAATCCTTGATGTTTGTGTTAGAGTAGTTTGTCTACATTACACCCTCTAGTGGTACAGTCCTTCCACGGACTCTACATAATAGCGGAATGCTTTGAGCATCTAACTATCCCAACACTAGTGTTTTGGTTTTGTAATGGCAAGTGATTCTTGAATATGCTATGTTATTTGTAGTAATATAATAGCTATTTAATATGAAATGTTGATGATTTCTGATGTTATGCACCTCTGCAACATCCTTTGGTGTGTAAATTTCTGATACCACGAGGTGTCTTGAGTCGATTAAAACTCCAAGATCGCAAGGTTCAAAGGCCTTGAGGGTTGCTTAGAAAAGTCGGGCTAAAGTAGACAATACCTTGCAATTGGGCTTGGGCCGTGAAAAAATGGTATCATAATAGGAGGAGAAGGTTGGGGGTCGTGTAAGGACGAATTCAAGATTCAACGAGATACTTATTGTGTAGCCAGGCCAAATCTCAACGAAGACGTTAAGTCCCTAAGAATGTAAGGGAGATTCACTGTGAAACTTGTTTTAGATTAAAATTTGTTTTATATTGGGTGAACTTTGCAAAATTTAGATTGTCTTACTATATGTTTTCTTTCTGTTTTTTTTAACCTAATTTTCTGTTTGGGCTAGTCCGATTATTTTCTAAAAAGGGGCTATTATTTCTAACAAACAATTGATCCAAGTCATTATAAAGAAGGACAAGACTTCCCAATTCTATTTATTTGATCTTTGACTAAACTAAGAAAGTTATTGAAACTCACAACTTTTAAAATACTTGTCAAAATTAGGAAGAAAAAAAATTCATAAATAACTTTAGTTTAGAGCATAATTATAAAATATAGCTATAGTTATTATATCCAGCGGAAGAGTTATATCGAATATATATTAATTGTATCAGCCAACGAGTTGTATTCAGGCGATAGGTACCAGTTGTATCAAGAAGAACAACACATTGTATATGTACAAGTGTGTATTGCATTTTTACTACAAAACCAAAATATAACTATGTATCGAATTCTTTGAAATTGTAATTGTATATCATAAATACAATCTAAATATTTGCAATATCATGTAATTTTTCCAATTAGGATCAATATTAGTTTGTGCATCATCAATGGGATGGTAGGTTAATAATATTTAAAAAGTAGTTATATCTTAAACACGCCATCTTTAAAAAATTAATTCTTAATCGTTCATATAAAGCAATATCATGCTTACTCATCACCTAACTATTATCAATTATAAGATGTTTTCAAGATTGTTAATTGGATTTTAAGCTCTTTGGTTTTAGATCTTGATTTTGACATCTCTAGCTTATTCAACATAATATATACTTTTGTCCTTAATTAATCTCCTAGTTGTTGATTGTAGATGAAAATTAGTTGGTCCGTGACATTTAGGTACCATAATCACACCCCTCTCCCCTTAATAATAAATTTATTTTAAAAATCACTAGTGATTTCTTTTTATACGTTCAAGTTTTGACAGACAGAATTATACGATACAAGAAGTGGAGGTAGAAGCAGACATATGGGTTCAGTCGAGCTATTTTTCAAACCCTATATTTGTATATATAAATTCACTAAATATATACAATAATTAAATGCAGGATCAAGTCATTCACATCTGATATAACTATTCTCGAATTTAGAATTTATAAACACTATGCAAAATTAAAATTAGCTATGAATTTCATCACTAGTGTGTTGCTGATATTGCTCGTAGCTAACATACTTTTTTGACAATTTATTGCTAAATACAATTAGTGACTACATAAAATTGTTTGTCGCTATTCAAAATAATAAATCTTAAGAACAACATATAAGTTTACTAAAATATCCTTCATGGATGTGAAAATTAATGTATAAAAAGTGTTTAAAGGGACATTTTTGTCATTTAGTCTTTTTATTCCGGGATAAGTTATCCCGAGATTACTATACCACCCATGGGAAAGAATAACTTATTCCGATACTAATTATTAATTCCAGGATAAGTTATCCCAAACTTCCCAACCAAACACTAAATTAAGTGCCACAAAATAATTATCTCAAAATTATTTGTACCTATCCTTCACACCAAACGACCCCTAATTGATAAGCCATTTCCAAGATTTTATTGGCTCAATGTTAACAAGCATGATTATTACATTACTTTTTGACATTGTTAGCTTCTTTTTGATAATATTGCTGACACTAATGTTTCATCTTATTAATGGCAATTTCACACTATAATACCTACCATTCTTATTGACATGACTTGATATTTTCTGAGAGCTCATATTTTCGTTCGGAATTCATATTAGAGTTGCGATTAAATTTAAATCATGCATTACAAAGTCTATTTAATGGTAACACTTCTAATAAATTTTTTTATATTCATGGCTTAAATTCAACATTTCTGATTAAGGATGAAGCTGTCTCCATATTAGTGCTCTTTTATGTCTTAATTTATGTAATATTATTTGACTTGATATAAGAAAACGTGTTTTTGAAAGAAAAAAAATATCTTTTGAAATTTATAGTTTAAAATAAATCTCGAATATTTTTATGACTATAAATTATTTCGATAAAAATAAACAATAAATTTTAAGTTAAAGTCTTTCTAATTATTTTTAAAAAGTGACTTTTTTTTAAGAACAAACTAAAAGGGTAAATGTACCACATATTGAAACAGAACCTATTGTGGCTCACAAATGTTGTTTTAGTCATATGACTATTTGTATAAGAGATCACTATGATATAAAAACATAATAATAACGATAATATATTCAAATATAATCTTATAAATGAAGTTTTAATATGATAAAACATACTAGATTTTACTCCTATTTGTAGCAATAGGACCAATTTCTATATATATTAAAATTCTAACTTGTCATGAAACATCATTTTTTACTAGAACGAGTCTTTCGATTATAGGTTCATCTAAATTTATAACTTTTGATATGAAATATATATGAACTCAAAATTTTAAGAGCAACTCTCACATATAGCAAACATAAAAATCATATTTGTATGTTATAGCTATAATTTGAATAATTGCGCTCCATAGCAAATTTTTTGTTTGCTATGGAGCTTTTGATTTGTATAATTCGCTAGAAACATCCAGTTTTATACAAATTGTTCTGTTTTTTATAAAGTCATTTATACATTGTAATTTGTATAATGAGATCTGTATTTGTATAATTATAAGTGTATATGACGAAAACATATGTATTTGTACTTATATATACACTTTTCTCTCGCTTTATACAAACACAAACGCACTTTATACCGAAATGTATAAAATGACTAATTGTTTACCGAATCATATGGCAAAAAAATGAGATGTTTGCTGCGAATTACAATTAAAATAAACTATGGCTATAACATTTAATTTGAATTAATAGTTTGCTATTTCATAAAAATTTCTCAAATTTTAATGGTATAATGAATTTATTATAAAATTGAACCTGTTAAATTTAAATTTTGAATCCAACTCGATTACGCTATTGTCAATTTAGTACTCCCTCCGTCCACAATTGTTTGTCTGGTAAGGTCATGCACACCCCTCAAGGAAAATTTAATACAAGCTGTAATTTGACTAATATAACCCTACTATACCAAGAATACCAAAAGTCCACATAACTTTTCAATTGAACTCCACTATTATTAAGGGCAGAATTGGAAAAAAGTGACTAATTATTTCTTAATTGTTTAAATTGACAATTTATCTTGGACATCTATTTTTAGTATACCTGCCAAACAATTGTGGTAGGAGGGAGTAGTACTATATTGTGCCTCCTAGACCACGCCTACTGCTTCTGTATCTGCACAAACGGACTGCATATAGTATAGTACACAGTACATGTATATAGAATAAAATTCAAATAATTTAATAATTCTGATAAAATTAAAAGCAAAGAAAATTACACAACACAATGGTGGCGAAAAATTATATTATTTATGTATGGTTAAAATAATTTTAGGTATATCTAGTAGATGTCGAACCCCTTCGATTACTTCGTGTCTCTATTTTTTCAGATTTTGAACCCCTCATTAAAAGTTCTGATTCCGCTACTGCGAAGAAGTACAAGACATGCCCATGCGAGCCATTACTCTACAAAATTATTATAGCTCGCAGACGAGCACATCAATAAAAACTTGGACTAATAGATGAAGATGGAAAGATCAAAATTTTGTTATTACAAAGTCTCCGATAAAAAGAATGATTATTAACTCGCGGGAATCGGAAACTATTGTATCTTTCCGTGGGTGGGCCCAATTGTAATATTATTGGAGCTAAACTATTAACTACCCAACTTGAGAAGACGCTATAAGTTGACCAAATCAACTGTCATGAAGACTCTACAGGACTTAGGAGTACTTCTTTTTTTATTTGTCAATAAAATAATAAGTTTTATTATATTGTTTTTTATGAATAGGATACATTTGATATAAATTTCAAAAAAATAATTTGCTCTGCTTATGAAAAATAATTTCTACTGTTGTTTAGAAATTTTTATTTTATTTTTAAAAAAAAACTCAACTCTCTAAACTAAGTAAAAAAATTGAAAGAAAAAAACATTATTAATTTCTAAAAAATTGGCCAAACAAATTATAAAGTCACTTTACTTTGATACTCCCTCCGTCCCTATTTACTTGTCCATATTTCCTTTTTTAGTTGTCCCTATTTAGTTGTCCATTTTGACAAATCAAGAAAGGACAACAAATTTTTTCCTATTATACCCTTATTTACACTTCTTGAAAATTGTAAAAGTGTATGTTGTTTCCCTCCAATTTATTTCACTTTAATTCAAATAAGTGGTTGTAATTTTGAAGTGAAAAGTTGTCATAAGGGTAAAATTGTAACTTCACTGTGCTAATCATTGTTGCCTTAATCTGTGTGTCATTTCTAAAGTGGACAACTAAAAAGGGACGGAGGGAGTATATTGTACATGTTCTTGCAAAAAAGGCTAATTGAGTAATGACTCGTTCAACATATCAGCATGAGAAGACTTAAAAGTAGACCAAAGTGTCATGAAGCACAAAAGTTGCGATGTAGCGAATGAGATTATTTCGAGGTAATTTTGATTTCGAAATTCAGATATAGAAAAAACTTTGATAAAAAACATTTTCTTCCGAATGTGCCGACTTACACAATACGAATTTAAATTAGTCGAGCTTCAATACACATACCGAACCGTGAATGAAAAAC